ACATGGCATGATGCTGCTGAGCTGGGAGAAAAAAAAACCGTCATAAGTTTGAGACACTGCACTGGTGTTATGATTCGGCAGCTAAACTACGCTAATTATGTTACCGCCTATTTATTATTTATTTATTATTAGTTATTGTCATGCAAAGTTACCATCTTGTAACTGTTCAACTGTTTTGATATGCGTAACACTTGCCAACCTAAACCTAGTAGGAACATGTTGATGTGCCGTAACCGCTTCTCCCATTTTTAGCTTCGGTGCCTTTAAAAAGTTTCTTCATTATCCATTTGATCTGTTCAGTCGGCCTTTTAAGTTTTTGTCGCATAATTCCGTACGCAATTTTTCTGTTTCCCATTGAGCTATCAACCTATCGCAGTATTTCTTTACTCTGCCTAATAGGCGCGTACCTCTTTGTCAAGCCAAAAATTACGCGAAATTACAAATGTCATCTCCGCCGTAATTGAAATCGGAGGTTACTAGAAGAAGATTTCGGCTCCGATAGTTTGCCCCGACGTTCGGAGCCATTTGGGGCTCAGCCCTATCGGAGTTTAACTCCGATGGTTTATTGGAGCCAAACTTGTCTCGAGCCATAGGGCTCCGATGAAATGCTGTCGATTAAACGTAGCATATAGAATCTATAGACATATCCACTCGGGGTGGCTTGTGCGCAACAACGCACGAAACCCTGTCAGGGTCGGATTCGTGAAATTATAAATAGTATAGTAGTACCAATATATTGTTTCCACAGTATTTTATCTCCCCAACCACAAAAGTATAGATGTTGCTTTTGTTTTTATTATTGCAGATTGTCTATCCACACAATCACAGTCCCTCAACACCATCAGGGGGGGGGGGAGTTGCATGACACGATTGGTTGAAATAATCGTCTCATTTGCATAAATTAATATTCATGAGCAATGAAAAACTCGTTTTTTCAGTAATATTGTGCCAAAATGTTTCCGATAGCATACATGTTAGTTCTAAATTGACCGATTCTATCGTTACGAGCTGAAAAAATAATCGGAAAAATGATGTAAAGGTATTTTTTGAGACACGTTTTCGATCAGCTAACTGTTGAAAGTAAGCATAGGTTTTCTCTTTACCATGATCATAGCAAGTTACGAAATTCATGGAGAATGCAGAGGCACGTTTAAATTTCACTCTAGTACTATTGCTCAAAATTGCTCAAAATGTTTTCGGTGACTTTTATCAGTGACAAGTTACCTGATTATTATGCATTTCGAGAAACCACAGTGTGTGTGCAGTTTGAAATGGAACAGTTTTGAACGCAATAAAATCACGCGTAGAACTTGGGCTCCAGCAAGAAATTGTGGCGTCAAACTGTCGGTTGAATTGTTTTGCAATAGACAATAATTTTGGAGCCTGTAGTTGTCTATGAAATGTTTCTAAGTTTTGTTGAGGATTATTCTGTAAAGAAATTGCTGAAATTATTTCATCTGTTCGTAAACGGGACGTTGTTGCTTTGACGATGGCTACGGACGACTGACGTTGAAACATTTCATTCAGATCGGATGGCGCCCTCTTGTGATAATCCCCCTGCAATACATTGTATTTTTAAAAAAAGTAAAAACAAAGTATTCGAACACCTTCCCCATTGATGAAGATGTTTCGCGTCTTCTATATCGAGTTGTGTTGTTGACAAAAATGGTGTTTGAAGAAGTTGCTTGAATCAGCGCAACAAAGGAAAATTTCAAACTGAAACGATAGGTTTCTATTGATCGATTGGAACGTTTTCAAATGACGTCGTTGCGCACTGTGTCCATTGATTGGCTGGTTGGATTCAACTGCCATTGAAATTTATAAATATTTATAAAGATGAAGGAAGTGTCCCAGTCGCCTCTAACAAGTTTCTAAGAACTGATTAACGGGAAGTAAAACTAAAAAATCGACATATTCAAACAAAATTACAAATAAATATTTTATAAAGGGCCATGAAAAAATTGGAGCCTCATACCTACATCGGATTTTAATCAGATTGGTAAGTGAAGTTCAACACCGTCAATGAGGTTTGTCAGACCCGTAGCCAGCACTTTCGAATAGGGGGTTCGAAAACAACAATTATATATTTGATGTGAAATGTGTGAATTTTATAATATTCAAAAAGTGTATTTGAGCTCTTTTACAGACATTTTCATATTATCGGTTTTAAATTCAATTGATTTACTTTGTGTTACGTTGGTAAGATATTTCACATAACATCTTTGAACTATTTTACCATTTTAGAGAAGGGGTTCTGAGCCATTTCCCACCTACAGACAAACACACCCACACCATTGATCCACTACGGCAAAATGTTGTACACAAAAAAGACAAGACTGTACTTATCTTATCATTATTGTCTAAGTATTTTAAGGTAGAAGGCTACTTACGAGTTTTTTCGCTCTTCGCAGATGTTAGCGCACATAAAAGTGACACGATTTTATGTCGAAATCTGTCTACAATTATTCATTTTAGTATTAGTCAATTTTGTATTATGTAATTTTATTTCTGTACAGGGCCTCAGCCTATCGTACAAAATGTAATGGGTAGAAAAGTGCATAGCACGTTTTAAACACAATACAACATCCATGTAAACATATGGTACTAAGTTAAGCTGAATTCATATTCGTATCAGGGGTAAATTCTTCTCCACAGGGTTCTCCACACTTGTCAGGGGGGAAACTCGTCTCGTCTCTATATCTCGTCCCCTTGAGGTACGGGATCGGGAAAGTCACTTATACTTTACAGTCAAATAAGACACGCACAACGAAATACGTTTCAGCTCTCGTCTTAGTCTGTCTTTTGGAGCACTCTATAAGACACAGCGCCCTGGGGAAAAGTCCCCAAGACTCTCACAAGGCTGAACCAAGACTCGCACAAGACTGGACTGCCTCAAGGCTCGCCCCAGGACTCGACTCTCGACTGGCCTCGACTCTCGACTGCGTCTATCGTGCTGTGCTCCCCAAGACCAACTCAAACTCTCTTTATTCATTTTCAAAACTCTAACCAATTACAAAACAGTAAAAAGACTCTAGGGCGTAACCTTCAATCATAAAGCCAATCACACTAAGTACTGAATACGTCATATCTTTTGATTAATCGTTCACTACATTAATAACTATGGATATAAACTGTCAGAATCGCGACGGATATCTGGTAGTTAGTTCCAAATCACTGAGCCAAGTTCCGTCCAAAACTTCAAATAGACCTAAACGATGACAGACATAACACAGCAATTCAGCTAATAATCAGCTAATTAAGTCGGTCAACAGATACGCGAAAACAAATTCATGACATTCGTCTCGTCGCTTGAACACTTTTAAAAGTTATAGAGCTTAATGATTTGATATATGATGTGGCAGTTTGTGTAGCGACAAAGTAAGTCCAGACTGTCAGTATTTGCATAATTGCATAGTGTTATTAGATCATTATAAAATGGACATATAAAAACAAAGTGAATTTCATTTTCTACCATGCTAAATTCGAACGTATCACTGCAAAAACTAAATAAATATTGATCTAACTGTTTTGTTGTGTGTCTGCCTAACTCAACATTATGTTTATGGCCAAAAACAGCAAATACTCGTCAGTATATATTTTAGTCTATAATTGCTTACCAATAAATCTCCCAGGTTATAATACTACTTTGATTTTTCCAAAGGTACACAGCCTGGATGATTGTGAAATTCTCCAACTTGTTTTTCAAACCAGACAATGCCGAAACCATATTTTTATGTGGGTTTCCCAAGCAAGTCTGCCGGGCTTGTCTAATCGTTTAAGCATGATATAACATGTTTTGGGGTTTC